TCCTGCTGATAGGAATGAGGAATCATATAACCCTAGGACCACAGGCATCCATCTCAGAACCATGAAGGAAGTCTATTCGAGGATGCAATTCATACAGTGGAAGCCAGAGCAGAGTGAGAAAACAAAAACCAAGACCCTTGATGCCATCAGACCTTATATATAGCCTGAATCACCTCTGGGCCTTTTAGATGAGAAAATGATTTCCCTTTATTAAGTCAGGTGAGTTGGATTGTCTGTTGATTTCAACCAAAAGACTTCTAGTGAGTAGTACCAACACTACGATCCAGGCACCCTGAGTCGCTTTCAGTTCTCTAAAGCACTGCATGTACTTTCACTTCAAAACATGATTAAACTGAACCTCAAATGTGTTGAACATAGTCACTGTGAAAAGCATGATCTGGGCTACAGCCCAGATGGGCAGTATCTAGGAAAAACAAGCAACAGTTGAGAACATTCCAGACTTCCAGCTGTTAAGGAGTGCCATTCCTTAAGCATTGACATGCAGACATCTGTCATTTTAGGGCATCTGCTTGGATGAATGGGCGGTGTTCTTACGCTGAAGTCCAAGGTTCTCTCAAAACTATCTGCTGAGCAGTCAGGTTGGACACAGCTGAGAAGAAACCTCAGCGTGGTGGAAAGACCCTCATCAGAGGCCTACCAGCTTGCATCTGTGAAGTATGGAATAGAAAAGGCCCTGCTGAGTCAAAGTTATGCTTCTAACTTCCTGATGTTGCCATAAGAATGAGGAAGTGTGTGTTCCTCTGAGCATGTTCAACCCAGCTCCAAGCAGTGTGGCTGAGTCAACTGGGGAGTGTTTCAAAGGTAAGAGAGGAAATGGAGAAACAGTTTTCAATCAGAGGAGCAAGACTCTTCCTTCCCCTCTTATAATTCTCTCATCTGACCACATTTGAATGGCTAGAGAAACCTCCAAGAAATTGATGGCATAACATTTAAAAGTTGCCATGGGAGATCATCCAGAAATAGTGTAAGAAATGTGTCGTCTTCTCAGTCATACAAATTCATCTTTTCTTGCATCATTATAATTTTTTCCTTCTTTCCTTCCTAAATAAGGCCCTTCAAGGGCCAACAGGTGGCATAATAGTTAAGGCACTGGACTCCCACATGGTAGACTGCAGAGTCAATCGAGTCCTGGACCTGGTGGCTTGTAACTCATGCCAGGCCCATGTGCCCAAAGTCCCATGAGGAGAATGGAGGTGAAGGGATTGTGGTGTGGCCATCCCTCTTGGTGGGGGACTGGGGAAGGTGATTTCTCGCTGTCTGTCTCTCTGGAGAGTGCATTGCCCTACAGCAAAACATCTCTCAAGAATAAATAAATATAAATCAATAAAGCCCTTCAGCTCTCTTAATATTGACAAATATTGAGCTACCAAGACAAACTTTTTAAATTTCAATAGCAATGAATGAAGCAGATCCATTTAACACAAAAATAATTTTTAAAGAGTTGGCAGTTAGGCCCTTCAAATGTAAGGCTGTCTCGATAGACACTTTTACTCATTGCAAATCTAAGAAGGACATTTACATGGATTTATTTGTCATTTCAAAGCTAAGCTGAAGCACTAGTACCAAGCTCAGTTTCATCAATCTCCATAAACTATTCGAGAAACTCACATCTGCCTTTTTGGTGGTTGTTGCTATTCTTATCTCACAGGGAAAACTGTAGGAGAAAGAAAGAATATAATTATCACCTGTATACACTGAATGAAAAATGAGATTATAGAACTGCGTTAGAAAATACACACAGAAAGTTGGCAGGATGACTCATAGTTCAGCCACTGAAATAGCTCAGCTTTTGTGTACGGTGTGACAGATCTGCCAACAACTAACTAATGTAATAGAATAATGAATCACCCAGGACTAGAGTTATTTCAAAGTTCCTGCAAGTACACCCACACGTGCAGTACCAGAAAACGCCACCGGCTTTCAGCAAACACAGCAATGGGCCTATGGGGCCACCTGCTAGTAAATTCCACAGCATCAGCTGCTCTTGTTTTAATATGTCCCCCACCACCACCAGGGACCAACATGCACACACACTGTCTCCTCCACCTGCCTGTCAGGGAACCTCTAGGAGTGCAGTGGTTAAGTCCCAGGTGCCACACCTGTGGCTGAAGTGGAGGTAGGTCTCTCCCTGGTTCTCCTTTCTTCTTTTACAAGCCTCAGGGGGCCCAGAGCACTTCCCACCATTTTTATTGCTGGCTTCATTCTGCCTTTCAAGGCTGGAGATGCAGGTTTGCTTGTTTAACCCAGTCTTTCCTCCTCCCGAACACAAGTACACGCGTCCTTTCCCTCACGGCAGTCACCCAGGAAAGCGGGCAGAGAAAGAACTGCTAGTGCTGAAGTGGGGTGGGAGTGCTCAGGGATCAAGAAATTTGACCAAGTTCTCACCTCCTGGGACCCGTCTTCAATTCCTGCCTCACTGGAAGTGCCTTGGACTCTATATATTCTCGCTCTCTCTTTTCTCTCTCTTGCTCTCATCTCTATGTGCATGCTCTCTCTATCAAAAACAGAAATTTATTCTCTCACAGTTTGGTGGCCAAAAGGTTCATTCTCTTCCTGAAGGCTCTAAGAGAGACTCCTGCCCTGTCTCTTCCAGCTTCGGGTGGCTCCAAGAGTTCACTGGCTTATGGCAGCATAATTCCAATCTCTGCCACTGTCTTTCCATGGCCTTCCCTCTATGTGTCTCTGTCCCAAGTCTCTCTCTGCCTGTCTTTCTTTCTTTCTTTTTTTTTTTTTTAAGATTTTTGTGACAGGGCATGTGTGCTTGCCAGAGAAAGACAGAGAGACAGAAAGTGAGAAATAACCCCCTAGACGGGATGGCCACACCGCAATCCCTTTTCCTCCATTCTTCTCTCACATGCCTGGCATGAGTTTGAAGCCACCGGGTCTGGGACTTAACTGCTGTCAGCCATGTGGGAGTCCAGTGATGTAACCATTATGCCCACTGATGAGCCTTCTGCATTTCTCTTTTAGAATATCTGTTTGGGGGCCCAGTAGGTGGTGTAGTGGTTAAGGCGCTGGACTCCACATAGCCAAATGCAGTTTGAGTCCCAGACCCAGTGGCTTGAAAATCATACTAAGCACATGTGTGTGCATGCCCAAAACTCCAGGAGGAGAATGGAGAAGTGACTGCAGTGTGGCTATTCCCCAGGGAGGTGATTTCTCACTTTCCCTTTTACTCTCTGACAAGCACATGTGCCCTACAGAAAAAAACTGAAGACAAAACAAACAAACAAACAAAAAACATTTGTCACTGGAATGGACCCACCCTAAACCCAGGAATACTCACATATTGAATCCTTAATATCTTTACATCTGCAAAGAAGTTTTTAAAAAGTCGCATCCATAGGTTCTAGGGATTAACACTTACATAAATTTTTGGGGGGCCACTATTCAACCCACTACAACTATACACAAAATCAGAGGTCTTCACACACAGGGGGCACCTAATAAACACTGTAGCTGGTACATGTCTATGTTATATTTGATCTTTAGAAGACTTTGTATAATTCTATGACATCAAAGAGTACCAAATGGGGGACCCAGCATTACCCAGATGTGTCCCTCAGCATCATTTTGCTGCTGTAGCTCTCCTGTAGAATCTGTTTCTTGTCTTCCAATATCTAGAAGCCACTGGCATTCCTTGGCTCATGGCCTTATATCATTCCAACCTCTTTTTCCATCATCACATCTCTTTCTCTGACTCTGGCCCTTCCATTTCCTTCTTATGAGGACCCTTGTGATTACCTGGGGCCACTCAGAAAATCCAGAACAATCTCCCCATCTCAAGATCCTTAACTGAATCACTTTGGCAAATTCCCCTTTGCAAAAGCTATACCCCTAATAGAACCAGGTTTCAGGGATTAGGATGTAAACACCTTTGAGAGAGGGGGATATTATTCAATTGGCTGTAGTCGGGAACTTCGGTTCCATTCTAAGAGCAGTGGGCATCTTGGGGCCAGCAGGTGGCATAGTGGTTGAGGCACTGGACTCCCACATGGCCGA